AAAAAAAAACACCTTTTTAAAAAAAGATTTCAAAATGGATATAAAAAAGTGGTAATTGAGCTGAGTGGAGTACAATTTTGGTCTGAAATCAAACTTGCAATTACAAATGGCACTCCTGCTATGTGGTCGTGCGATTTTGTAATTGCACTCCACTCAGTTCAATTACCATTATTTATCGGGTGTCTAAAATCTCGTACATTTCTACTCAGTGAAGATATCACTGTTGTCATGATACATTTTTAACAACCAATCACATTCTTTCGATCCTCAGTTTAAAAATTTCAGCTCCATCTCTAGCAAACGAGAATTTTGATGATAGCTTTGACCTGTTTCCTCATTTTTATGGAATGCAAGGACAAAGACAGGAAAGACTACGAATTGTCTTTGCTTTGTGGTATTTTGTCGATTTTTAACGGCATTTTTCAATTACAGTAATTCCATTTTAAAAGATTGTGAATTCTAAAATTCTCTTACATATTTTTCGTGTTYGTAATTAGCAAGATTAACTCAACAGAAAGTGATTTTTCAAGAAATTGTTGTRTCATTGAACTGTTTGTTTAGTTTTCATTAAAGAAATAATAAGCTTAAGTTTAATTATCTTTAAGATTTCAAAAATTCAATTCATAGGAAGATGTTCAAGATGTTTGATTAATAATAAATATTTCAAGTTTGTATGTTCAAATTGGAACTTTTATTGATATCTATATAATAAACAGAACATTAGAGTGACCACAGTTATTCCGTGAAACKTTAGTAATACTAAATAGCACAATTTCATGCAAATTCCATTGTTTTCTATTGTTTAATTAGCACTATTTCACGAATTTACTGTGGTCACGTGCGCAGAGATACGAAATTTAACTTTGAGTGTTGAAAAGATCTCTCATGAGTGAGAGATTTTCAACCCAAGAAGATAAATTTCGTATCTCTAGGTGCCCATGTAATATTCTGCTTTATCTTCTCGTGTTGCTGCACTCATTCGTGAGATATTCTCAACGCTTGAAGATGAAATTCGTATCTCCTCGCGCCCATTTATTCCTCTATTTAACAAATTGACATCAGATTTTTATGTGTCTGTTCTCTTATTGACAATAAATTGCGTCATCACATTGTCAAAGTAGTGTGGATCCAATCAGTGCGCGAGAAATTTGTAAGTTATTGTAAAAATAATTACTGATCTTATCAAAATCCATTGTTTTCAGTCTGCATTATCCCAACGAATGCATAGAGGAAAATCAGACATTCATAATGGCTTTGTTTCTATGATAAACAAGCTAKAAAGAAAACAATTGGATTTTGATAAGATCAATAATTATACTAGATAATCACTTCGGCACGCAGCATTCGTAGGTATAATGCAGGCAGCCTGCATTATACCTACGAATGCTGCGTGCCTCAGTAATTATCTATTAAATATCACTTCAAAGTGAACTGGAAACTGCACAATTTGTCATTTTATCGACCTTAAAGACCTGTGCAAATTTTAGATTTTCTACGTTTTGTACATAAAATATATTTTCAGTTAAATTCAATTTTACACGTGGTTCGAATCAGATGTCTGCACTTCATCATCTAAGTCGAGTCAAATCAAAATGTGTTTACATAAACTTGAGTTTAAAAAAATTCTTACCGATCTGTCAAAAACGCGAAATGTTGTTTCAAGTTTCTGAAATGGAAATATAAAATAAAAGAACCTAAATATCAAGAACAAACGTCTTTAATTATCGAATTTCGCGAGAAAAGATAGTTTGACAGTTGAAACTGTACCTCGGGAAGCGAGCGATAGAACGACAGAAAACCCTGTTCTGCTGGGCTATCTGCAAACATAAACACACAAAAAGCATAAAATTACAAATAAAAATTCTTAAAGAGATGGTCTGAGGTGTTATTACCTAAAGATATTTGTTGACAAGGTTGTAAAGCCATTATGAATGTAGAGTGAAAAAACCAAAAGACGAACAAAAACAACTCCAAATGATCTGAAAGATTGGCGCGAAAACCGCTAATCGATATTCATTCGGAATACACTCGGGATATTTCTTCAGCTCGTTCCAGCCTCTTTCGTCAACCTGAGAGGGGCCTGAGGACTAGGTTGGAACCGTTCATTCCCACAAAATTCTCAAACAATAAAAAATACTTTAAAGTTTTTTTAATTCATTTTAATTTTGAAAACCTCCAATCTCGAGCCCGGACATTCTCGTATCCAAGTAAGGTTAGCACGTGCCACCTACGTCTGGTGGTCCGCAACTCGTTGCCCACTCTCCTGGTGGTGTAAGAAATATCGGGAAATGTCTATTTCACCACCATACGATACGCTTGCTATAGTTAAATAGTTGGCAAATGTTCACGTATCTGTTTCGAGTTTAATCGTGGATCAAGTACAAACTAGTACAAGCTAGTACAAGTTTCGCTAAAATGTAACAATAATTCCTAAGTTAGTCTACATTTGTGGGGAAATTATTTACGCTTAGACAGTATTTATATTTAGAATTAATTGTACTTACATCTGGTGGCGAATCACGCATCTAAATCAGTCTTTTATATCAAAATTGTCTTTGGCTCGTAAGCACATGCATATCGGTTCATCAAGAATTAAGCGAGTGTACTTTATTGCATAAGGCTAGATCAAGTTTCATTGCTATGTTTAATCATTAATTTCTGGTAAATMATGGGGTCAAGGAAATCGTAAGAAACAAACAAAACGAATAAAATGTATCGAAGTTAACTATTCTCAACATCCCGGCCCCCGATGAGGAAACCGGGGTTTCGTCATTAGCATATAATTGTCTTATCTGCATAGCAGCATTCTTCTTTCTTCTTTCTTCTTTGTTCTGATGCCTCCAATAGGCAGAGTTTTCTTATTGGTCGGTGTAACTCTGAGTTCTTGGTCTTTATTGCTGCACTTCGAATCCGTCCGTCTCTACCAGGGAACACCTGAGTAACGCGACCAAGAAGCCATTGACCTCTCGGTGCGTTATCATCCGCAATCAGTACTAGATCGTTGACTGTCAGGTCTCGGCGTGGCCTGAGCCATTTCTGGCGTTCTTGCAGTGTGGGTAAGTACTCGTGAACCCACCTCTTCCAGTAGTGGTTCGCGAGGATCTGTACTTGTCGCCATTTTTTCCTGCTTGACAAATCTGTATCTTCAAAGTGTCCCGGCGGTAGGGTGACAGCTGGACGTTGTAGCAGAAGGTGGTTGGGTGTCAGCGCCTCCAAGTCTTTGACGTCGTCAGAGTTGTGGCACAGCGGTCGGGAATTCGCAATTGCTTGCGCTTCGGAGAGCACGGTTCTCAGCACCTCTTCATCTACCGTCCTTTCACCGAGTATAGCTTTCATCGACCGCTTGACACTCCTTATCAGTCCTTCCCATACTCCGGACATATGGGATGCACCCGGTGGGTGGAATACCCATTCACAGTTATGCTGCTGGAGCTCCTCTTCTATGGTCTTGTGGTTCCATTCTCTGATCGACGCACGCAACTCGCGTTCTGCTCCGACAAAGTTAGTGCCATTGTCCGACCTCAGCTGATTAACGCTTCCTCTGACGTTGATGAAGCGTCGGAGCACCATTATGAATGCGTCTGTCTCTAGTGACTGCGCCAACTCCAGATGTACAGCTCGCGTCGTCATGCAGACAAAAATGCAACCGTAGCGCTTTGCTGTACCACGACCCCTCTTTACATTTAAAGGGCCAAAGTAGTCTATGCCGGTGTAGGTAAAGGGCGGTTCGTAGGGCGTCACCCTTACCTTGGGCAGGTCTGCCATTTCTTGTGACATCCTTTCTGCATGCTGTTTCT